GGCCCCTCGGGCCACCCATAGTCCTCCGTGGAGCTCGTTTGGTCGTACTAATCACTAATCGTAGGTTATCGTGAGCGTCGCACAACTGTACTACAAGAAGGGGGAGGGCCACGACGACGTCACCCGCAGCGCAATCATAATCACCCGACGCAACACACACACACGCACACACACTCGCAGCGTCTGGAACCGGATCAGCACACGAAATTTGCACACACCGGAGTTTTGCAAGTAAATAGCCACAACAACAAAAACAGCATCAACAGCAGCAACAAAAACAACAATGACGACGGCATTCAAAGCCAGACAGCCGTAGCCAGACGGCACACGGGCTATTTCGACCCCTCCATTACTTGGCCACGCGTGCAGATCATAGGTGTTGCTAGTCAATCGGAGGTTGGCTGATTTACTCCTCGTGCGATTGTGTGTATGCCCCCCCCCCCCGGCCCCTCACCTCACGCTCTCCGCATCCAAGCGATGCTCCAGCAGCAGCCTGCTCTTACACTTGCTCTTCTCGTACGTCGCTCGTCGAGCGCGGCGGAGTACACTCGGCGCGGCGGGGTGCTCTGGGGCGGGGCGGGGGCGGGGTGCCGCGCGTTTCGCCGCGCCCACGGGCCGCCCCGCCCCGGTGGCCCGTATGCACGCCGTGTGCACGCCCAACTCAACAACTCACGCGCCACGAGCGCGCGAGCAGGTATAACCTGGTTTCGGCAAAGTGCATGAGCGACTCCACGCCAAGGAGCAAGGAGCAGCGGTTGGCCTCCCGCCGCGGAGGGAGAGATATGGGGCGACATGTTGGGCGCGCTCAGTTTGAAAACACATTTGAGTGCGCGGCATTTTCTTATTCGTGACTATGGTCTAGTGCCACATTGTGGTCACTCCGTACTGCAAGTGTCAAGAAGGGGAAAGGGGGGGGGTGAGAGAGAGGCATAGGCAGACACAGAGAGATGTGTGTGTGTGTGTGTGCATACGAGGTAAAAGCCTCGCGGGCAAGGTGAGTGGCAATGCCCTGGTAATGTCGTTACGGCTGACGACTCGCCGCACCCCTCAAGCAGCCCGCTCGCCTGCGCAGCATGGCTAGTCCTGTGCTTAGTCTTGCTCGCTTGTGGGAAATGTGCAATAAAGAGTCCTGGCCGTGGATTACGGTTAATGATTCGGTTTTGGCGGCGCGCAGCGCGCAGCACACGGTGCAGCAGCAGCAGCAGGCGCAGCAGCAGCAGCGCAGGGGAGGTCCGAGAGGGTCCGCGACGGAGGTCGCCCGCACGGCCTCCGCGCTCAGCCACCACGCGGCTCAGCCACGGGGCTCCAAGCAGCGCAGCCAACGCAGCCGCGGCAAGCTGTGTGCCGCGGAATGTCGTTCGTTGCGTTGGCCGCGTTAGCCGGCGTGTTGTGTTGTGCGCGCCCGATCACATCGGGGTGCGCGAGCACTGCCCAACGCAGTGCATCTCTGTCTCTGTCTCCCTTCTCGCCTGTCTCTCTGTCTCCCTGTACCCCTGTCTCTCTGTTCGCCTGTCTCTCTCCCTCCCCTCCCCCTCCACCGCTGCTGTCCTTGTCGCCCTCCCCGTAATGCAGTGAGCGGGGAGAGCAGAGTGCGGCTGTATGCGGCGAGGGCAGCTCTCCGCGCGAGGAGGGGACCGAGGGGACTACTCCTCTCTCCGATTTTACCAGTTCCCCAACCTGAGACCTGAGGTGGAGGGAGCGGAGCTTCCCCTGCGTGGGTGCCGATTGTTTTTGGGATCCACCCAAACCTATAAAAGCCGAGGATCCGAACATGGAACCACCGACCCCACAATTTGCACCAAGTGGAATTTTTTTAGGCAGTATTTCTTTTTCTTTTTCAAAGCGAATACATTCTTTTACAAAAAATATTAAGGGCTAGGTATTCTAGGTGTCTTACCGCTAACTTGTCCTTCTTTAAGCCTCCCTCCCTCCCTCCCCACCATCTTTTCCTTTACCATCATCACCAACATCAGCATGGTCAGACAACACGCAGCCGCCCGGCAGTATCGCAAACAACCTGGCCGTAGTGTGTTGCCACTGCTGTTGGCTTACAACACTATCGCCACTATTGGCCGTAACCTCACTCAGGCGGCTGCTGCTGCTGCTCTCCGCGACGCCTTCACGCATCCCGCTAATTTTTGCCAGCATGTAGGTCGACCCCCCCCCTCCTCCCTCCCCCAATATTTTCATCTGGGCTGTTTTCATATGCGACGGCACAGGTCCAGCCCGGTGGGCTCGCCGCCGCCGCTCTGTCCTTCCCCGTCGGTCCGGCGCACCACGCTCGGGTGGGAGTGAGACGGCTGCACCGCCACGCCACGCCACGCCACGCCCCGCCACCGCCCGCCTTCTCGCACTTTTTGCCAGGCAATGCATAATGTAGCGCGGCCAGCTGCTGCTCGAGGAGGCCCGCGAGCGACACCAGAGTGGCTAGAAGGACTCGCGCTGGCCGAGCTTGGCGTTGAGAGCGGGGCGTGGGGCGTGCGGGTGAGTGCGAGCAGCAAATGCGCCCGCGAGGGTCCGGCCCTGGCGTTCAAGTCTCCGAGATGCCGAGGACCGCGGAGAGGTCTTGGACCCACCGGGGTGTCGTTAAGGCGGATCAGAGCCTGGGGAGGCGTTGTACACCGTGTCCGCGATCGCGATGGACCGTAACGTTGCAGTGCTCACCTGTCACTTGGGCTGTCAGGCGCGTGGTCGCGCTCCCGTCGTCCGCCGGCGAGCGCTCCGGGCGCGGTGCCGCGGGCACTCCGTCGAGCTGTCGAGCACTTGTGTGGGGCGCCCCCGGCACGGGGCGAAGAACTCACTGGCACTCACTGGCACTCAACACTCCCCGAACACAGTTAATCCAGAGGGCTGCAGATGGGGGCTGCTGGTGGGCAGGGCGGGTCGCGGGTGGATCACGGGCTCTCGCAAAACTCTTTCACACACACACTCACACACACACGGGGGCACGGAAAGCTTCTGGAGAGCGTCGTTGCAGGGCTAAGCCTGCGTTGCCGGCCTGCGATGCCCTGCGCTACAGCGGGCGGAGCTCGGCGGAGCTGCGGACTGAACGGGTTTGGAGCGAGTGCACATCGGACCGGCTCATATATATAGACTCGGCACGCGGCGGCCGGGGCCGGGGGCCGGGGCCGCGCCGGCGGGGGGCGGCGGGGAGCGAATCCAGGAGCAAAACAGAACCGAGCGCTGCTAGCCAGGGGGGAGAGAGAGGACGAGGACGGAGAGGAGGGGAGGTGGACGAGGAGGTGGACGAGGAGGTGGAGGGGGCGCACCACGTCGGGCGCGTTTGGTAAGAAAAATGAACGAGACAAGAGCTAATGGGAAGAGGGTGCTGCTCGGCAAGGGTGAGGAGGGGGTGGGGGGTTTGTGGCCTTCCCCGGCGGCCGTTCCGCGCAGGGAGGTGAGGAGGCTGGGAGGGACATGCCTCTGGTGGAGGTGGTGGTGGTGGTCCAGACGGAAGTGGGGGTTGGCTTCCCTTCGCTGCAGGACGCTTAACCACCTGTCCTCGAAGCGCCGCCACCGCCGCCACCACCGTCGTCCTCGAGACCCTCGACGACTTCTCGGAAACCTTGATCCTGCAGAGTCACGGTGCGGCACCCGCGCGACTCGGACGGAAACGGCTTCGTCCAAATTAGAGGGTTTGCCAAAATGTCCAGAGTCAGCCCCGCGCGCGACGCGCTCCAAGAGAACCGTCCGCGTTTATCGGCCCTGGGCGAAAAGAGTTTTGCATGTAGTATAGCAAAAGGAAGGGGGCCAGGAAGAGGAGGAGGGGGGCACTGACCACGCATGGTCGCGCGGCAGCACGCACGCGTGCCGTTTTGGTGCTGTTCAGCCGAGTCATCTCGGCAGAGGTTACAAATCATTTCCGGCAGTGGTGTAATATCGCGTCATAATTAATTAATTGATATTACGCGAAAACTTTTCAAAATGCCCAAACATAATGGAGTCCCTCTAGTAAGGTCCCTTGGAAAGTTTTTTCCTGGTTTCGTCCTGTCCGCAGACGGGGACGTGACAGGTCGCTGAGATGACCCCTCCCCTCGCAGGGAATGAAATAAAAAAACCCCGACGAAATGATGATACTTTTGTCTCTCTGAAGTTCAACAACAAAAAAACGAAAATGGACTACAACGTTGTGTGTTGGTCTCGCTCGTTCGGGTTCCCGGGGGGTTCCCCGCGCACTGCCCGCGCGCGGCGCAGGTCCACGACGTCGGTCCGGCAAAAGTTCCGCGGCTGCTCCTTCTCATGACCGCCACTTGTTGTTTACATCGCAAATCGCGTAATATGGAAAGTCCGCGATGGGATAACTCTGCGCACACACGCACACAGACACACACACACACACAGACACACGACGCGGTTATTATTGTATATTCGACGCGACCTGGGAAATATTGGCACAAAGTCCGCGAACAGCGAGAGTGCGGTCAGTTTCGCGCGGCGAGAATAATAAAAACAAAACAACGACCACTCACTCGCTCATGAGTTCTCGATCCTCTTGATCCTTCGGAAGATTTCGCACGAACGCCACCTCCTCGTCATTACCATGACGTGTCGTGACGTATGCTGGACTGGACTGCCCCCCGACTCTCTCGCTGCTGGAGGTTTTGTACCATTACCGCGTAGGTGCTTCTAATTGCTGTGGTCGCGTCACACCTGACATGCCGCCCGCCTGACCATTACCGCATTACACCCGCCGCCGCGCCGCCGGACTCGTCTCCGTGAGCGCGGTGCCCATTCATTTACACCCACACCGGCCGAAAAATAAAGTGGGGTAGGGTCGTGTGCTCTGAAAAATTGTCCCACGCGCCCGGAACGTACTTCGTATTACGTCGATTTCTTATATACGGGTATACGTTCCTGACCTCTGTGTTTTTGGCGTCCTTGTTTTAGGAGTACACCGCGCGTGGTGGTGTGGAGGTGGACTCGCCCCTCCTCCGCCTTTCGCGTCGCTCGGGACGCCTTTCGCTTTTAGGTTTTGGGCAAATTTGCTTAGAGTGTCGCGTCGTGGCTCACAGGCACACATTGCCCATTGCTGCCCCCCCCCTCCCTTCCACCCGCCGTGTAGGTGAATGGGAGAATGACGCCAATACCAGTGCACTGCTGAGGAAGAAAGGTCCGGAGAAAAACAACAGCAAAAAACACGAGTGGACGATTGGGTGGTAGGGTTTCATTGTGCACCTTGACGTCACCGTGATTGCTGTCAAAACATGAAAATACGCAAACTGGCGTGTTATCAGATTCACACGTGCGGCCTGCACCAGGGCTAGCGTGTTTTTGTTGTTATTTGGCGTTAGCTCTGGAGATGATGCGCCAAAGTGGCATTAATTTGACCATTTTTTGTCAAATTACAGTTCTCCTCAAAGCGCTTGTAGGTCGGCAGAAATGCAGATTGACTTAATATCACGCCGGGTATCATAGTGATGGTCACGCACTGCTGGATTTACCGAATCATTTGCACGCTTTCGGGTCGGCAATGGTAACGATTGACTTTGCGTGGACACTGTGGGTGGTCACTGTCAAACGCTACGCCCCTGCAAGTTAGGCAAGGACTGGGTCGCCTACTCCCAGAAAAGTCCGTTCTTGAATCAAGCAAAAGGTTCTCGACCTGAACCTGTGGGATTTCAACCAAGTAGTATAGTCTTGGACGAAGTATCTTCAAGTACGGGTTCCAGTAAAGAACATTTTGCTTCATTGATCCAAAAACGGACTTCTCTGGTTGTACACTCGGACCCCGACTCCCTCTTCCACTACAGAGTCGCGCGTGCCTCGGCGTTGGGCGTCTCTCTTTCCTTTTGCGCGCGCGTCCCGCGGACAGCCGGAAGCGCCGGCGCGTGGCGCGCGCGTTTGCGATTGACACATTTCTAGAAGGAGGTGGAAGGAAAAGATAATAAAGGAAAACTGAAATAGGAACCGAACGTGATGAGACAAGCGTGTGTGTGTTTGACGTTTGCCGAGTCCGCGACCTTTGCATTCCTCCTCCTCTAGCAGTATGTGGTGTTCGCCACGCGCCGAGCGAGGAGGCCGAACAGTGAGTGGCCCGCGAGCCCACATGAACACAGAGGAGACCGGCAAGGTGGCAGGTGGCCGTGTTTGCTCTTCTCTTTTCCGTGAGTGGCAAATAATCCTGTTTGTAGTCCAGCCATTGCGGTTCAGACCGCGAGGAGTTTTAGGCCCGCCACCCGGCGGCGATGCCTCGCGGACAACCACCATCTAAGGACCCATGAGAGAGGTAGGCCGGGGTAGGTTCGGGTAGGCCTACTTCACTCAAAAGGATCGGGAGAAAAAAATAATGAAACAGTATCAGAAAAATTGAAAGAAAATCAATTGATAAACCACAACAAGCTCAGGAATAGTAAGAAAAAAAGATTATATTTTTTTCACAAATCTAGAAAAAAACACAGAAAAATCGTTGTACGCTTGAATTTATAGTGAGTTATCATACGCTATCACCTCTAACTTCCAAGAAACCGCCGTGCCGGGCCTAACCAGAGCCGCGCGTTGTTGAACGCTGCGCTGTACTTACTCGTAACGCGTCATTGAAATCTTTGCGCCTCCTCCGCGCGAGGCGATAACAGAGGAGAGAAGAGTGAGAAAAAAAATCCCCCATTGCAAAGTTTTGCACACGTCGGCGTCGGTGATGTGTTGTGTGTGTGAGTGTGTGTGTCTTCAGCATCGCGGTAATGAATAAATGATCGCCGAAAATCCTTGAGCAGACCCTCCGCACTCCGCGGTGGTGCGCTCTGGCCGCTATTATTAGCCAATCAAACGCGGCCGGCGCCGGCTGGTGTGGCGCCATTAGGAGTCGGTGCGCTCCGTACCCGACCCCCCGTAGGACCCACTGGACCTCTTATTCATGAGCTGAGCAGGGCTCCCAAATGTCAGCAGGGGACGTCACGCGGGCCAGTGCAGCAGCAGGGCCGTACAGCGGTGCAAATCGTCGTATTGGCAATTTATTCCTTTTAACCATTGCGGTTCTACGAAATAACCGGCAGCAGGGTATAAATAAATAAACACGAGACTCAAAAAAACCCGAACCCGGAACAAAACGACGCTGTTGCACTTCGATCGCGGTCTGGACGTGGGGACGGGGTTTCCAATACTGATCGACCGGCAGTAAAGGCCGCGCGGCGCTGCGTCGCACTTTTTTATTTCATCATCGCATTTTATTTTTATTTTTTTAAAACTTTAACGCGGACGGGTAGACGGGATGGCCGGCTGGACCATGCGCGGCGTGGCGTGAGTTCAGAGGGGGGTTCAAGGACCCGAACTGCAGGGCACAGCAGGGCCGGCCCGAGGGCCTGAAGGACGTCTGGCCTGTGACCTAATCGTGTGAGACGCGAGAGCCACCAAACCGGTGCACTGCTGCTGGCCCTGCCTCCTGCCTCCCGCCT